GAAGACTGTAGGCATACTATCAAAGATAAGGTACTACGTTCCACAATCAGCTCTCCTGACACTGTACCATTCAATCATATATCCTTATCTTACATATGGAATTTGTGCATGGGGATCAACAATATCCAATCACCTAAAACCCCTAATAACCCAGTAAAAGGCAGCAGTAAGAATGATAACAAATTCCCACTCCTGCCAGCATACTCCACCAATTTTCAAAAGTCTGAATCTGCTCACCATTAAGAACTATACTTATTCATGTGCCTACTACATACACAGAACAATACACGCAAATATAAACCTCCACTCAAACTTCTCCTCACCAACTTAAACAAGACACATGACCACAACACAAGACACAGATCTCTTTTTGATATACCTCGTGTCCATATCACACTGTGTAAAAACTCTATGCACATAAAGGGCCCCAAAATATGGAATTCATTACCAGAAGATATTAAAGTAACCCAGTCTGAAAATCAATTTAAGACTCTTCTCAAAAGCCACTTAATCACCCTAGACTAAATGCTATATACACCTATGTACTCCCACATCATAACTGAAACAATCACATTGAACCTTTTATCTATTGTTGACAGGAATATAATTGAATCATTGTTTTTCACAAAAGCATTTTAGAATATAAATATGCATATCTTTGTATAATACAAATTTTGATTCATTTATAATTAATATTCTACTGTACAACTATGAAATAATTACTTCCCTACTGTAAAACTATGATATACTATTCCTTAATATTAAGTAGAATGTAAGCCAATAATGTTAAGTTGGCCCATAATAGAGGCTCTCTTCACATTGCAACCCACTATTGTATATACACAATCTCAATGTACTGTTTGCAAAGACATTAAATAAATAAATAAATAAATAAATAATTTAGCTAATATCATCTATATGGCTTATTTATATATCACAGTTCATCTAATATGACATAACAAACAATATGAGTAACATAGAAACATGATATATACTCTAGAATGAATAAAATATGTCATTATGTAACAGGTGGAGGTGGCCACAACTGCTCCCTCTTTGTGGTAAACACTGCCATCTAGTGATGGCCTTTTGAAGCCATCTATTATAATTGTTATATGTAGTACGTTATTATTATTATTATACATGTATTATTATTATACATATATTATTATTATACATATATTATTATTATTGTATTATATTATTATACCATTATTATTATACATATTATTATTATTATTATTATTGTTATATAAATAATTTGTAAATTTTATTCACACAAAAAATATAAGATTTGCTGTTATTCCTTATTGCAATAATTGTATAATATCAACCCATTCATGACTGCAGTTTGGAATGGACAGTGACGTCATTTGTTTACTCTGAAACAGCCAAGCAATGGACCATTTCTCCTAGGTTGAGCTCTATTTCAAGGTACTTTTCTTCATGAAAGCAATTAAAATCATATCTATTTCTGTAATATATCTTCCATTCTATCAAACGAGACCAAACAAACGAGAATACAATCATAAAAACCATTCGAAATTACCACTAAGGAGTGGCTAATTGCTGAAAAGTGAACTCCATTATTTATGCTTAGATTTCTTTTATTTTTGATGTACGTTAAGAAGCATCTTTCCATCATACATTGCCTAAGTTTTAATAAGATAGTCCAACAAACAAATGAGATACAATTCCCGAGATCAAGAGCAAGAGCCCCTCACCAGTGTCAAGAAACCTGCCTTGAGGTCTGCTTACTTGTGGAAATTTTGCTCGCATATGGAAGCAAAAAATTGACCCATCGACTGTTCGTATTTGGAAAAACTCGCACGTGGACACGCTCGCAAGTAGAGGTTCCACTGTACTTGCGCTACTTTTGTTCCTGAAACCATCCAAAATCATCTCTATTTCAGTAGTATGTCTTTGATTCTATCAAATGATACCAAGAAACCACCAATAAAACCCTAAAAACGATCCTAGAAAACACCTCAAAGTCACTATTTTAAACCAAACACATGGTCAGAATTTTGCTTTTCCCATCATACCCTGTATGGAGCAAGATTTCTTTTATACTATGCACACAACGTGCAGATCCATTCTCATATCCACTCCAAAATTTACCACTCACGGCTCATCTGAGTAAGTAGAGCTTATGACACAGAACGTGAGGGATCTTGGCCTCAGTGACGTAATTCATGATAGCCACTGAAAGGATTAACCACTCTTTTATTCTCTATATGCTCCACCCACCTGATATCCCTTCTGATTCGTAAAAACCTTCCATATTCTAATTTTTTCTCTTACCACTCTTTACCTCATTATTTCACCAGTTACTCCTCTTCCCTTCCACACTCACCCTCCTATATTCACAAACTTCTGCACATTCTTAACACTGCATTCTTAAATCTACCCCATATCTCTGCAACCTCCTCCTCATTACCTATACCCTCACTAGCACATCTTTCACCAAACAGTTGCTTGTATCCTACCCTAATTACCACCCCCTTTAATTTATTAACTTTTACTTCTTCTTGTATCACAGCTATCTTTTACTCTCACTGGCTGCTTGGGGTTTAAATATGCAACATTCAAGATGTTCCCTTCTGTAAATATAACATACATAAGGACCTAATGTTCAGCACCTCTCACATTTCTTCTCCAATGTTCAGCACCTCTCACATTTCTTCTCCAATGTTCAGCGCCTATCACATTTCTTCTCCAATGTTCAGTGCCTCTCACATTTCTTCTCCAATGTTCAGCACCTCTCACATTTCTTCTCCAATGTTCAGCACCTCTCACATTTCTTCTCCAATGTTCAGCACCTCTCACATTTCTTCTCCAATGTTCAGCGCCTCTCACATTTCTTCTCCAATGTTCAGTGCCTCTCACATTTCTTCTCCAATGTTCAGCACCTCTCACATTTCTTCTCCAATGTTCAGCACCTCTCACATTTCTTCTCCAATGCTCAGCGCCTCTCACATTTCTTCTCCAATATTCAGTGCCTCTCACATTTCTTTTCCAATGTTCAGTGCCTCTCACATTTCTTCCCCAATGTTCAGCACCTCTCACATTTCTTCTCCAATGTTCAGCGCCTCTCACATTTCTTCTCCAATGTTCAGCGCCTCTCACATTTCTTCTCCAATGTTCAGCGCCTCTCACATTTCTTCTCCAATGTTCAGCGCCTCTCACATTTCTTCTCCAATGTTCAGCGCCTCTCACATTTCTTCTCCAATGTTCAGCGCCTCTCACATTTCTTCTCCAATGTTCAGCACCTCTCACATTTCTCCAATGTTCAGCGCCTCTCACATTTCTTCTTCAATGTTCAGCGCCTCTCACATTTCTCCAATGTTCAGTGCCTCTCACATTTCTTCTCCAATGTTCAGCGCCTCTCACATTTCTCCAATGTTCAGTGGCTCTCACATTTCTTCTCCAATGTTCAGCGCCTCTCACATTTCTTCTCCAATGTTCAGCGCCTCTCACATTTCTCTAATGTTCAGCGCCTCTCACATTTCTTTCTCAATGTTCAGTGCCTCTCACATTTCTTCTCCAATGTTCAGCGCCTCTCACATTTCTTCTCCAATGTTCAGCGCCTCTCACATTTCTTCTCCAATGTTCAGCGCCTCTCACATTTCTCCAATGTTCAGCGCCTCTCACATTTCTTCTCCAATGTTCAGCGCCTCTCACATTTCTCCAATGTTCAGTGCCTCTCACATTTCTTCTCCAATGTTCAGCGCCTCTCACATTTCTCCAATGTTCAGCGCCTCTCACATTTCTTCTTCAATGTTCAGCGCCTCTCACATTTCTCCAATGTTCAGTGCCTCTCACATTTCTTCTCCAATGTTCAGCGCCTCTCACATTTCTCCAATGTTCAGTGCCTCTCACATTTTCCTTCTCCAATGTTCAGTGCCTCTCACATTTCTCCAATGTTTCAGTGCCTCTCACATTTCTTCTCCAATGTTCAGCGCCATCTCACATTTCTCCAATGTTCGTGCCTCTCACATTTCTTCTCCAATGTTCAGCGCCTCTCACATTTCTCCAATGTTCAGCGCCTCTCACATTTCTTCTCCAATGTTCAGCGCCTCTCACATTTCTCCAATGTTCAGCGCCTCTCACATTTCTTCTCCAATGTTCAGCGCCTCTCACATTTCCTCCCCAATGTTCAGTTGCCTCTCACATTTCTTCTCCAATGTTCAGCGCCTCTCACATTTCTCCAATGTTCAGCGCCTCTCACATTTTTTTCTTCAATGTCAGCGCCTCTCACATTTCTCCAATGTTCAGCGCCTCTCACATTTCTTCTCCAATGTTCAGCGCCTCTCACATTTCTTCTTCAATGTTCAGCGCCTCTCACATTTCTCCAATGTTCAGCGCCTCTCACATTTCTTCTTCAATTCAGTGACTGTCGTCACTCATTATTTGTAATCTTTCTTTTGCATTTTGTTGTTTTACAAACTTGAAAATAGATTTGGTTTTGTTATCCACTTGCCTGTTATGCCTTATTCCAAAATTATTCTCTCCCCCTCCACACCTTTGTATATATTTATTACTTGCTTGTTTAAATCTCTGGTAGACACATAAATTGGCAAATTTCCAATATGGGTATTAGATTCCAAGTTAAACCTTCCATTTTTTAATTGATAACATTTTTATATATAGTAAAAGCTAGCAGAATTTCTCATACATTTACCTGTTAATTACCTTGAATTTCTTAATACACTCCTAATTGTATTAAAATCCTTTTCCTAATTGTTATAACTCCAATCATACACAACAGTACAACAAGTACCTCAAGAAATAGTTTACTCTTAGTTTAATCTTGTCTGGAATGCATAAATGTGTTTTTTGAAAATAATTTATTTTTATTATTTATTTTAAAACAAATATTACTACTGCTTCTACTGTACTAACTACTATTATTATTTTATTCTTCAATTTACTTTTTTTTTTCAATTAAATGCTTTGTCTCCTAAAATTACTTCAAAAAAATACTGCAATGTGTTTACCAAGATGGGCACCAGAGGTTTGAAGAGCGTGTCCAAAGGCCAGCGATAAAAGCGACGAATGGGGTTGTAACGGGCCTCATAATATCCTGGGACTACAGCAGGCTCACTTTCTGCTAGAACCTTAAGATAATAAGATAACTTTAGCACTATCTTTAAAACAAATTCAAAATATGAAAAATAAATCAATTTGTCTATTGCAGTTTCTATGCACTGTATTTACATAGCACAAAATAGAGAGAAGGCTGCATTTCCTAGAGGATTAGTAGAAGCTATTAAGGGGATAAATGACGAAGGTAAAAAATTTCCCATTACTACCTTGTTTCTAGATTGGAACTCACCTGATCTTTTAACCACTGTTTGCGAAATGCTCGGTTCGCATCCGTCTGCCACTAGACAGTCCGCTTCAATTTGTGACGGGTCCCTGATAGAATGCTTTCACTCCTCCTGTGGTCTGAAAAGGATGTAACAACTTCATTTAAAATTGTTTGAGCAATCATGCTAACCAAATAGAGAAGAGGTTCCCAAACCATTTGTCACAACCAAAATCTGAATCAAAATGCTCCTCATACCAAAATAGTAGAATTACTCTAGCTACTTAGCACCGAGCAGACGGAGTAGAGGTGAGTGGGGGGGGGGGGGGGGGGGGGGGGGGGGGTGGGGGGGGGGGGTGGAAAACAGCATAAAATTATAGAAACATTGGAGCACAAATGTATATATAATTGCTCATTTTCTACTTGTGCTGAAACCCCTGGGCCACTCAAGGGAGGTTCCTTGATGCCTGGTGAGGGTTCTTGAGCTAGGGAAGGGGATCTGTAGCTCCAATTCCCTGAATTGAAAACCTGAATACTTTCATCGCTCCCCCCCCCCAACATGCGCGTATAATCCTCGAGTTTAGCGCTCCCCCATGATCATATTAATTGAACCCTGGCGTGGGAACCTCTATGGCAATAGAGGTGGAACCTCACTTTGTAATTAACCCTTTGACTGTCGAGTCGTAATAGATACGTCGTACGAGGTACCGTGTAGACGTATATATACTGTGGACCCCGACCAATGATGGCATTGATTAACGATAAATCCACTAGCGATACATTTTAACGCCAAAAATTTGTTGCTCGACTACGCGAAAAAAACCCGACCAACGCTATTCGTTCCGTTCGAGATGCATCCACTTGGCTGAGCGCACCTCACTTGTCCCATGGGTGCCATGTTTTACATGCCCCAGCCAGCCGCGTCGGCTTCGCAAACATACAATTGGAACATTTCATATCATCACAGCGTTGTAGTGATTGCACCTGCAAAATAAGTCACCATCGGGGCCCCAAGAAAGCGTCTAGTGACACCCTACAGTAAAAAGGGTGAGAATCAGATGGAGATGAGAAAGAGATCATTGCTTAAGTATAAAGTGGAAGTGCATGTCTCCCGGGCTGGTCAGGTTGTATAGTAAACGCCCAATAACATCGCTACTAATTGTGGCAAGAAAATGGCAATCAAGGAAGCTGTGTCTTGCCAAAGGTGCCACTACGTTTTTGGAAACCTGAGATTCGCAAGTGATAGAAGATGTTGAGAGACTCTTATGTGGTGGATACACGAAAAACAGATAGCAGAGATAGCATCCTCAAAGTGATCATATGGTGAAAAAGGCAAGGAAGTTCATGACGATTTAATTAAAAAGATGCCAGCATAACTAGTGGTGAGGTGAGTGAAATTTTAAGGGCCACAAAGGTTGGTTTAGAAATTTAGAAGCGAGTGCATTCATAGTGCTAAGGCATGGAGAGGCTGCCAGTTTCGGACACAAAGCGGCTGAAACATACGTGCAGAATTCAGGAGGACATAGACAGTGAAGGACGGAACCTGAACAAGTGTTTAATTGTGACGTAACAGGCCTTTGGAAGAATATGCCATGCAGGACGTACATTACTCAGGAGGAAAAGGCACTCCCAGGACATAGCCTATGAAAGACAGACTACTCTGTTGAATGTGGTGCCCAATGCTAGTGGTGATTGCAAAGTGAAGCCTTTATTGGTGTATCACTCAAACTCCATTGTGTTCAGGAAAAACAATATCCTCAAGGCTAATTGTGTTGGCTGTGGAGGGCAAACAGTAGGCATGGGTCACTAGGGACTTTTTCTAGACTGGTTACACCATGCATTTGCCCCCAATGTGAAAAATTACCTAACTGAAGAATTAGACCTTAAGGTGCGCCTCCTGGTATATAGACAATGCCCCAGTTCATCCTACAGACCTTGGGCAGCGCGACAGTGTCTGGGGACATGAGCTTTCATAAGGTCAAGTTTTTTGCCTCCAATACCACTCCTCTCCTCACCCCATGACCAGCAGGTCATTTCCAACTTCAAATACTGTACACAAAAGCTTATGTTTCAAAAAGTGCTTGGAATGCCCACAGACACTCGATTGACTTTTAAAAGAGTTTTGGAAGGATCAATTTAATATCCCTCAATTGTGTAAACCTTATAGGTAAAGCTTGGGGGGGAGTGACTAAGAGGACCTTGAACTCTGCTTGGAAGAAACTGTGGCCAGAATGTGTAGACAAAAGGGATTTTTGAAGGTTTGAGGCTAACCCTGAGAATCCTATGCCAGTTGAGGAATCCATTGTGGCATTGGGGAAGTCCTTGGGGTTGGAGGTTAGTGGGGAGGATGTGGAAGAGTTGGAGGAGGAGGACACTGAAGAACTAACCACTGATCAGCTAGATCATCTTCATCAGCATGAGGCCACACCTGAGGAAACTGCTTCGGAGGAGGGGATAGAGAAATTGAAGAAGTTGCCTACTTCTAAGATTAAGGAAATCTGTGCAATGTAGCTTAAAGTGCAAACCTTTATGGATGAAAATCACCCTGACACAGCTACTACAAGCCATGTTGGCAACCTGTACACTGACAATGTTGTGAAACACTTTAGAAATGTCATAAACGAACGGGAGGTACCCGCCTCTATGGACAGATATGTTGTGCGACAGAAGTCCAGTGACTCTGAAGCTGGTCCTAGTGGCATTAAAAGAACAAGGGAAGTAACCCTGGAAAAAGACTTGCTACCTCAAGTCCTAATGGAAAGGGATTCCTCTTCTAAACACTAAGAAGATCAACACTCTCCCCTCCTCCCATCCCATCAATCATCACCAGATCTTCAATAAGGGTAAGTGTCATGTAACTGTGCATGTCTTCTTCAGTTTGTGCATTAAAATTAATATTTCATGTGGTAAAATTTTTTTTTTTCAATACTTTGGGGAGTCAGGAACGGATTAATTTGATTTCCATTATTTCTTATGGGGAAAATTAACTCGACTAACGATAATTTCGATTAACAATGAGCTCTCAGGAACGGATTAATATCGCTAGTCGAGGGTCCACTGTACTCATAAATTCTAGCGGCTTCAAATCAAGCAGGAGAAAGCTGGTAGGCCCACATGTGAGAAAATGGGTCTGTGTGGTCAGTGTGCACCATATAAAAAAAATCTTGGAGCATGCAGTGCATAATGAGAAAAAAAAAACTGACCGTTTTTTTAATTAAAGTGCCGAATTTGTGGTCTATTTTTGTATAGTATTTATGGTTGTATTCTCGTTTTCTTGGTCCCATTTGATAGAATGGAAAACATATTATAGAAATAGAGGTGATTTTGATTAATTTTACTATAAAAAGAACCTGGAAATGGAGCTGAAAGTAGGGGAAATGTTTGAGTTTTGCCGATGTTCAAAAGTAAACAAATGATGTCGTTGTCCAATAAATGTCCAAGTAGCCATTCTAATATGCAGTCATGAATGGGTTTATGTTATTTATACAATTATTACAGTATTGCAGCAGTCTGCATAACAGTAAATCTTCAATTTTTTGTTTGAATAAAAATTCAAAATAGAAAGCAAGAGTAATATCAAAGGGGCTTAGAGATGTGACTGATGAACTAAGAAAATGTTATTATAGAGCCAGGAATGTCTGCATTGTTCATTCTGGACCTTATTTTGAAATTGTCATATTTTTTAATTTTCGTGAAAGTGGCCAAATTGCAAATTTCTGACCACGTTATTGGGTAGTTGAAATCGGTAAATGGACAGTTTCTTGTACTCAATCAATAGAAAAAATGGAGTTCTAAAGAAACAGCTATGAGTTTGGTCGACTGGAACAATGGAATTAGCCGAAAATAGGGCTCATAGAGGGCGAAATCGGCGATTTGTAAATATCGCCAAGGTCACTAACTTTGGGAGAGCGTAATTCCGCCAGTTTTCCATCAAATTTCATGTTTTTGGTGTCATTACAATCGGAAAAAGATTCTCTATCATTTCATAAGAATTTTTTTTTTTTTTAAATTTTGCGACACCAGGAGACACTTCAGGATTGGGGGTTGCGATAGTCAAGGGGTTAATCCGTTCCATGACCTTGCTCGCAACTGGATTTGCTCGTTTGCAGAGTCAATTTTCCTCATTTAAATTAATTGAAATGCAATTAGTCCATTCCAGTGGAATTCTGTACTTCAATAATTTCGCTAATATCAACTCGACGCTTATTTATCTATCTCACTTCATCTGACAAAATAAACAATATAAATAACATAGAAACCTGATACATACTCTAAAATGAATAAAATATGTCATTCATGTAGTGGTATGGGCGGTGTCGGCGGTGGACGAGTGTCTGGAGACCGGACAAAATACTTCTTAAGTAATTTTGCTAATATCTATACGACTTATTTATCTATCACAGTTCATCTAATATAACATAACAAACAATATAAATAACAGAAACCTGATACATACTCTAGAATAAAATGTCATTATTTAACAGGTGGAGGCAGCCACAACTGCTCCCTCATTGTTGTGGTAAACACTGCCATCTAGTGACGGCATTTTGAAGCTGTTTATTATTATAATTATTATTATGTAGTACATTATTATTATATATGTATTATTATTATACATATTATATTATTATTATTGTATTATATTATACTATTATTATTATACGCATTATTATTATACGTATTATTATTATACAGTGGTCCCTCAATTATCATCCTTAATCAGTTCCTGGAAGTGGGACTATTATCGAAATAGACGATTTTCGAATCAATTTTCCCCATAAGAAATAATGTAAATCCAATTAATTCATTCCAGACACCCAGAAGTATCAACAACAATTTTTTTTTTTACCTAAAAGTTAGATTTACATGCACAAAAGAATGAACATTCAACATGAGTTACCTTTATTGAAGGCTGTTGTTGATGAATGAAAGACAGGGAGGAGGAGAGAGGGAAGAGAGGTTATGACCTGTCTTTGTAATACTCATTTGTGCTTTATAGTTATCTGTTTACAATAATGTTTTATCACTTATTTCATCATTGCTTAGTTAATCTTAA